ACCAGGTGCAGATTTACTTCCTCACCATTGTGTGAGTTCTGTGATCAACTGCTTCTCATAAAGGAGCTGTGTGCAGCACAAAGGCGAGAGGGAGTCTTAATCTTTACGAATTTCTTTCTTTCTTTTTTTTTTTTTTTGATCCTGTGAAAATGTAGAACCAGATCATATTTCTCTGTTGCCTTTAAAAAGATAGCATTTATCTTGTTCTAAGTACTTCTTAAGTAAGTATTTTCAAAGATATGGAACACAGTCCAGTTCCCTGACAAGGTTTATTGGTTGCTCTGCTAAATTACAGCCTGCTATGAGTGGGTGTATACCTGACACACGCCCTTTTGTGCATAAATAACTTGGAGTATAACTGTTAAAGCGTGTGCCTGCAATAGGAGTCTGTATGCCATCGTTTTCAAATGAAACATCTATGCATTGTCTTGATGCAATTATTCTCTAGGTTTTTTTTTCCCCTCTTACTAATATTCAAAAATACAAGCAAAAAAAAAAAGTAAGGAGAATAGTTTATTTAAATAGCTACGATATGAATAATCATATATCCCCCAGATAGTGAAGCATTTCAATGTCATTATCCTAATAATGTTGCATGTGAAGTTGGTGAATATATCCAAGCTCACAGGACAGAAGAATTTCAGCATTTCTGCCACGTGCTTGATTAGGTGCTGCATATGACTCAAAATGGCCTCTTCCAACTTAGTTTTTAGGCAGGGTTCCTTGAGTTCAGTGCTTCAGTAGTCAACGTCCTCATAAATCAGGCAGAGTAGAGTATGTGCTGTAACTATATCAGAGAATATTTAAATGGTAACTGTAAAGCTGTTGGTCATGTTTTGGTACTTTTCTCTCCGAAGCATCAGTATTAACCAGATCATTTTAAATCGTTTAATTCAAATATCTTCTCATTCATATCACTATTGGGATTATTGACAAAACTGGGTTAATTCTCACAGTTAATGAGGTATTATAACATGTATAACATGGGTGATGTGGAGAATATAGTTCTCTGTGAATCAGGTTCATTATATATAATTTGATTCCTTATTAAAAGATGACAGGGCTGGCATGTTAATCACAATGCATATAGTTAAAGCCCAAAAAGTAAGAGTAGGACCACACAGATGAATTGATCTGCCACTAAGAAGTAATGCAAACGCACCAAACTGAGCCTCTTATTTTGTGCTGTATTCATCCAGAAGACCTTACAAGCAATGAGAAAGCAGTTTGTACCAGTGTTTAAAACTCAAGAAAATTTAAAAATGTATCTTTCTGAAAAATGTGTGGACACCCCTACTACACAGGAATCCTCCACGAATACTACTCAGTTTTGATATTATGCAAGTGGGAGGGGATACAATTTTGTGATTAAATACATTTTTCATGTGCATTTTCCTGCTAACCTATATTTGCTACTAAGCATTGAATGTTTATTTGTGCTTATATATTTGGCCTTTTCAATTGTGCTTTTCCCTGTCAAAGCCTCTAGACATCATTTGGATACAAATGTACAGTATATTTCAGACTGTGCAATACAGTCCTTTGGGGGTTTATAAGTACATCTAGTTTTATCTTGCCTTTTGTGGGTCACTGGAAACATTTACTGCAATCAATTTTCTTTGGTTATTATCTTTCATGACATGAATAAGGTAGCAGTTAAGTCTTGCCTCAGTAAGTGTTGTGAGAAAAATTCCATTTGTCCGATTGTCATGAGTGGTGTGGGCATCGTGAGTGGATGTCATGGTGGAAAAAAAAAAAAACAAGGAAGGGAGATTCTGAGACATGAGGGAAACTATATGAATAAACAATAGATTAAATGGGAAGAATCCAAAGATTTTAGATGTCTGTTGGATTGGAAAAAAAGAAATTTAAAAGATAAAGTAGATGTGAAAAACTATGTAGGGGAACAGAATGTCTGAATTTCCAATGTTCTTAAAATTAATATAAAAATATATTGAGGGAACCAGCAGTTAGCATAATGGCTATGTCGCTGGACTCCCATGTAGTCGACCGCGGTTTGTGTCCCGGACCCGTTGGCTTAAAACTCACGCCGGGCGCGTGTGCATGCGTGCCCAAGATCCAGAGAGGAGAATGGAGGAGAAGGGATTGCGGCGTGACTATCCCCCCTGGGGGGTGATTTCTCGCTTTCTGTCTCTATGTCTCTCTCTGTCTGTCTGGCGAGCGCACGCACCCTACAGTGAAAATCTCTCCAAAAAAAAAAAATATATATATATATTGAATATAATTCAAATATCAATTTTAATATTATACCCATTGCCAAGTGGTTGAGATGCTGCTTGATTACAGTTTAAGATTCCTCGCAGAGGGGCCAGGCAGTAGTATGACAGTATAATGCACCTGGACCTATGTGGGAAAGATCCTGGGACGTCCCTGAGAACAGTGTGTGTGTGTGTGTGTGTGTGTGTGTGTGTACATGGGCCCATGGTACCTACTGATTAAGACTGGGGGTTGACTGCAGTGTGAAAACTCTGTTGTGTGGCTGTCTCTCTATCTCTTTCTCGCTCTGTCATGGAAGAAATAAATAAACTTAAAAAAAAAAAAAAAACAAAGCTATCCCAGAAGGAAGAGAGTCAGGAATAGAGGCATGATATATGTTCCAGGAACTTATATCAGGTCAATGATTTGCATTCTTCCTCCTTCCAAAAGAAATCATCTCAATACTTTTGTCTTTGCTTGACTTCTCATCTTTTACCATCCCCTAGAATCTAGAACTTCCATACCATATAAGTCCAATATACTGAATATTGAGTTTAGCACTTCTCTGAATTTGTCCTCTTCTTCACTATTTCTTTTGAGCCAGTATGAACAAATCTCTTCTTCACCTCTGCCTTTCCCTTGATTGTAATGATATTCTTTTCACATTCTTTAAA